GCAGCGTATTTCAGTCAGTCTGCCTGTTCTGTTCCCCACTCTGTCTCTGGGGAATCCTCTCACCCCCTGCACCTCTGGCCTACACCCCAGCTCTTGTATGCATAAATAAATAAATCTTTAAAAAAAAAAAAAAACTACCCATCACATAGTGGGCAAAATAAGAAGAATTTCAAGCTTGCAAGGCCAAGAAATATGCCTCTTATGTGCCTTTCTTGGAAACTACTAGATAATATAATCCATTATATCCAAGAAGTAAACCTAGAAAAGGGAAGAGAAGGAATGTAGAGAATGGAAAGCCAACTGGGGAAAGGTGGGATGGTATTCCCAGATGATGGTGAGAGAAGGCATAGGATTTCAGCTGGATAGCAATGGTCCTGATGGGAAGCAGAGTTCAAGGGTACTCCAGAGCTGTCTAAGAAAAAAGAAACATGATGGGTTTGTTGAACATCTTGAGAGAGTTTTACACCACTGTTTAGAGCAGAAGGGCAAATTTGTTGTACTATGTAGAAAAATAGGCAAATGAAAGCAGTAAGTTTGGGGGAAGGGACGGCTGTGCTCGAAGGGTCACAGAAACATAGCACAGTTGATCTTGAACACAAGTATGAGCTGTCCACTTATACACAGGGTTTTTCTTTCACTAGGGTCCATGTTCATTGATTCCACCAACCACTGATGTGGGATGTCAGTTGGTTGAATGGTGGATGGGGAACCCAAACATCGAAGGACCAACTATAAGTTATATATGCATTTTCCACTGGGGTGAGGGCAGTCGGCTCTTCTAACCACATCCCCCACACATACATTTTCCAAGGGTCAACTGTGCACTGAGTGGCTCATGAGGCACAGACATTTCCACAGTGGGCAAAGCATCCACGTAGTAAGGATCAGAGAGGGGAAACATGTTAGGATGTAAGAAAATTAAATTCTTATCTTGCATTTTGAAGAAATCTATTGATAATGGCTAAAACTTTTAAAAATCACAAATCATAGTATAAGAACATTATTTAGGAATGTGGTGCTAAGTGGAAGAAGTAGTAAAAGAAGATGAAAGCAATTGTCTCTAGAAAGTGGGTACTGGGGATGTGGTGTGCAAGACAGAGAGAGGCTGGCTTCTGTTATGTACCTTGTGGTATTGTCTGAATTTTTGAAAGTAAATACCTGCCTGCTCTGATAAAGCATGCATTGTTATAGGGAACGCAGACAATAGGAGAGGTGGCCCTGGGTCAGGTAAGAATGAGGTGTGTTCTAGAAATTGAAAAGGGTTGAACAGAGGGAACCCAGGGACAGAGGACAGTGGCGGGGGACAGACAAGGTGGGAAGCAGGCAGGAGCCAGGTCATGCCAGGCCCTGCAAGGTACGGTAAGGATGGTTTTGGTTTATGCTAAGAAAAATTCAAGATCATTTCAAGGTATTAAGCACGGTAGTGACAGGGACTAGTTTACCCTTCTAAGAGATCTTTCCAGTTGCGGCATGAGGGTGGATTGGAATGGTAGTCGCAGGGTTGGAAAGAAGGGACAAGAATAGAGATATATTTTGGTAGCAGGATATTTGGAAATCGTATCATTTCATCTTTGTAGCAGCCCATTTTAAAGACAGGGAAACAGGTTCCCAGCAATCTGCGGAGGATGTCACAGCTAGACGCGGGAGGGATTCGAACCCAGCTCCCCCAGGCTTGCGGCCTTGTCTCCTTTGCGCAGAGGGCAGGTTGCTGTCCTCGCTGCCCCCCAGGGCTCCAGCAGGAGAGAAAAATCACAGCTCAGCTGTGTACCCCAAACCTTCAAAACAGTTGTCCTCTTTGATCCAGTCATCCAACTAACCTAAAAATGAGGAAACACTTTGCAGAAAGTTGATCATCACAAGTGATTATTTATAATCACGGAAAATGGCAGTGTCCTGTACAAGAAATATAAGGAAAAGGTGAAGAAAGAGGTGGACAAGCTCTCGGTGGGACAATGAACAGCTGTTGAATATGATGGCACCGAACAGAAATAGGGAGCCCATAAGGAACACCTATGGGCTCCAGGTGCCAGATACCTCGAATCCTTTGAGGTAGGTACCATTCTACCCTCTTTACATATAAGGAAAGTAAAGTTCAGAGAGGTAGGGGTCAAGTGTAGTGACTGAGGTGGTCTTGGAGCTGGTTGTGGAGGTGGGGCTGGGGACCACACTGTAGTTGGGTTGGGGGATGATGATAGAAGGGATGGGTGTGCTGGTATCATTTGCAATGATGAAGGTGAAGATCCAGAGTTGGTGGCAGTGATGTTTATGGGGTGGAGATGATAGGGGGGTCCAATGGATTTGGGTAGTGGTGATGGTGGTGAGCTATTGGTGTCCACCATTTGAACACTGGATGGACAAAGGTGGCTGGGCGTGGACCTGCCATTCCCTTGGGGTGTGGTCTTGGGCCTAACCACTTCACCTCTCTTATTTTCACTTCCGCTCTTTAGAGGTGAGTCAACTGCCAGAGATACAAGGTATATTCCTCACCATAACAAAGTTCATCTCAGTGAGGTTGGGAAGGCAGGAAATGTCTGGGATTTCCCATCCAAGTCCCCAGGGAAGGGGAGCCAGCAAGGATGGGCCAGCTGCTGTGCGGCTGCTGGCTCTTTGCATCCATTACCATTTAGACCTCAGCCATCCGTGGTCACAGACGGGAAGGCACATGATCTAGTTGGCAATGGAATCAGAACCCAGTGCAGGTAGTCTGTGCTCTCTTTCTAGGTTTCTGGCTTTCTCTTTCTCACTGCCCTTCAGAGACCCTGGGACCATCTATACTCTAGAAAAGACAGCGACCTATTGCCCAAACTCCCTGCCCCCAACTTCCAATATCTCCCTACTCCTTTCCCTTTCCTTACTCCCCAAAAGAGATGAATCAAAAAAGACACACATAAAAGAGTACTCCTCAGCCTTAAGACTAGATGTTGTCATTTACAGCAAAAAAGGAAAGAGTTGGGGGAATCAGGCACAATAGGACAAGCCAGAATGACAAAGACAAACCCTGGACATTTAAGTAGCAGATGAATTGACAAAGCAAAATACTAATAAAAACTAGCAGCCATTAATAAATAAAGTAAGGTTTCTGAAGTTACAAGGGAGAGAAGAAGGAGAATGTATCAAAGGGATATAAGGAATGGTGATGGGGGAAAAAATGAAAGCAATGTAAAAAATTTTTAAATAAATGGTGTACTCATTGCAAAGCTCTCAATATACTACAAACCATTGAATGACATACTTCAAATGTTCCTTTTTGTACATATGGTATACATGGTAAATAAATTACATCTCACAATGAGAAAGAAAGAAGGAAAGAAAGGAAGGAAGGAAGGAAAGAAGGAAGGAAGGAAGGAAAGAAAGAAGGAAAGAAAGAAGGAGACAAACAGCTGAATTAGTGTGGCCTCTTGGCTCCCACCCCATGAGAGATGCAGGCCCCTAGAAGTCCCCTCCAATTTGGAAGGGACACACCCTCTCACCCAAAGCCTGCAAAGTGATGTCAGCCACAGCTCACAATAGTCCACAGTGGCAAGGCTTTCTAGAATTTGAAGGCAATGAGAGTGGGCACCCTGGCCAGTCCAGGGGCCCCAGGGGGGCCAGCAAGGGAGGCGGCCTTTCTTGCCCACAGGCAGGGGGGTTCAGGCACCATCCCCTCTGCTGCTGCCTCCACACAGGTTTACTTTCACTTTTTTGTGTATTTTTTTAATGTTTCCCAGCTGCAAGAATGATCATTCCAGGGCCGGGTGAGGAAACTGAAGCTCCGAGAGGTAGACATAAGAATAAGGGCCCACGCACTCGACACAGATATGCTCCAAGTCAGGAAGGCCCAAGCAAACCTTGGCCTGCCCTGCACTCAGCTCCATGGGTGTCGGCCCTCACCACAGGGCAGATGCCTGCCCAACCAGAGTGCCCTGGTGCACAGACATGGCCCTGAGGGTACCAGTCCCTGCAGCAGGGCCCCTCCAGAGCCCACCTCCAGCTTGCAGAAAGATATGGAATCAAATGCCCTGGCTCAGATTCTAGCATTTCACTTCCTCCCATGCCACCCCTCAGCTCTTACCCACTCTGGGCCTCAGTTTCCCTGCTGAGAAATGGGGTGAAGAAAGGAGCCATGGAGTCTTGTTATTAGTCACAGACTTTTCTGTCAGTTGGCTCTCAAGGTTCTCCGAGCCCCAATTTTGTGTCTGATAACACAGCCCAGAAGTCCTTGTCTCCAGGAACAGACCCTGGTCTGGCTCCAGCCCTCAGCTGAGTCTTCCTCTGGTGCACCAGGGCCTAGGATGAGCCCAGCCAGAGGCCAGCTTGCACTTGGTCCCAGTCGTACACTTCCCAGCGATGGAATCCACCACTGACCACAGGTTCCTCTGCCTTGGGGACACTCCAACTTCTTTTCTGCACTATTACCCTTCTCATCCTGGAAACTGAGACCAAGGAGAGTTCTCGAGTCCACTCACAGTCAAGATGGAGCTGAGATCTAAACCCAAATTGGAGGAATTGGAACCCAGCTTTTTCTCCTCATGTTCTAGGGTCTCCAGTCTCAGGCACCCTGACTTCAACTGCCTTGAACTTCCCGTGAAAAGGGCCTGTTCAGGTTAACTCATTCTGGGGAACCAACCTCCCTTTGGCCCTGTGAAGAATCCACAGTCGGTCCAAATTACCCCAGGACTTAGAAGGGAAAGAGGCACCAGAACCCCAGGAAGTATGTTGCCGCGGACCAGCACAGCAGTAGACGATGAGGCCGTCTCAGGGTTGAGAGAAACGCGCAGGGTGGTCAGGGAGTCGGCGAAAGAATGACTATGTTTAGTACAAACTGAGGCCTTGCAGCCTTGCAGGCTGGGACTCAGCTACAAAGCCCCCAATCCAGCTCTGGTGGCCCTGCCTCTGCCCGTAGCTCCATTCAGCTGCAGGGGAACCGCCCAAACTTGTCTTCGTCCCAATAACACCACTCAGTCCCTACCCCTGGCCAGAAAACCCTACACCCTGCTTCAGCAGGGCCCTGTGATCCTTACCTGTGCCCCGGCAGGTACCGCGGGGGCGGCAGTTGGGCATCGACCAGCACAGGTGAGCACAAAGTGAGGCCTGCAGCGCCACTGCAGACTTTAGCACCACCGCCCTGAGCAATCATTAACCCTGCCAGAGGCGTGACTTCCTGGATAGAAATGACTCCTCAGCAGGCCTGCTCACAGCTGGGGACAGGGCAGAAGGGCAGGACCAAGACAACCATTCCTCATTCCCAGAAGCCCAAGTCCAGGCCACAACCCAGAGGACCTGGGGAGCAGGGCCAGTACTGGGGCAGGCAGGAGATAGGGAAGGTGACAATGAGAGTTGGGGGAATGACATCAGGGCTCAAAGTCCCCTCCTGCCACAAGATTCCTCAGTGTCAGGGGACCTGTGGAGAAGGCAAAAGAGGGTGAGGAGAAGGAACTAGAAATATAGGGTAAGAATCATACAGGGGGGCCTGCCTGGTGGCGCAAGGGGTTAATCATTGCACTGTGAAGCAATCTGCAGCCTCTGCAGCGAGTTCCATCCCTGGCCAGCCAGGGAGCAACCAACATGGCAAAGCAGAACACTCCTGGCTCGCCCGCTGCTCCCCTCAGGAGTATACTTCAGTCAGTCTGCCTGTTCTGTTCCCCACTCTGTCACTGGTGAATCATTTCACCTCCCACACCTCTGGCCTGTACCCCAGCTCTTGTATGCATAAATAAATAAATCTTTTTTTTTTTAAAAAAAAAGAATCAAACAGGGGTTTTTCACAGATGAGGGAGGACAAATGGAATTTGCATGAACTTAGATCCTACTGTTGCTATTATTCCCTCCTATTGAGATCTTCAGGGGGTATCTCCCCACCCCTGAGCTAGCTTTAAATACTATGCCTGTGCCCAGCAAGGCACACCTGCAACTCTTCCTCCAGCCACACTGCCTCACCATCCCAGTGTTGAAACAGGACAGAAGTGGTCCTCTTTGGGGTGGATGGTCTGGGAAAGTCACTGGCTCTCTCTAAACCAAGCTGATTCTGTCTGGACCCTGGGGCAGTGGGTCTTCCTTGGAGGATGAGACCCAGCCCAGCATGGGCACTCACTGAGGCTTGGAGCAGCCAAGAGAGAGCATGAGATGTAAATGCTCATTTAGCTTCAGGGAAGTCCTGGAGGAAGATGTCCTTTTGCCTCCAGAGAGGCTTCTGAATAAGCATTTATTGATTACCTACTGTGTGCTTTACATCATGGTCTTGCTGATATCTGAATGGCCAGGGGGAGATAGGTACCATCATAACTGTGACCACTCTACAGAGGAAGAAACTGGGATCAGAGAGCAGAGGTGACTTGCACAGCCAGGACAGCAACATCTCTGACTGCAGCACAGAGGCTTTGTCATCAGTGAAGAGTTCTCCCCTGTGAAGTGGAGGCCTAATCCATTTCCCCTTCTCACCCCCAGAAAGTCTTCCCTGTTCCAGCTGTCACTTTCCGTGGTAACAACAACGTTTTTCCTTTGAGGAATCTTCTTACCCCCCTCATCCCATGCCCCCCTCATCCCATGGAGGTACATGATGGGCCTGGCCAATCAGAACACAGCACCCCCCTATCACAGCGGCTGATTCTGATTTGGTCATGTGACCACAGCTGGACCAATAAGAACTAACAGATCTCAAATACTTCGTTCGAATTATTGAGAATGAGAACTTTGTTGGTCCCCTCTGAGATGTCAACACTGTAAGAAAGTGATGTCTAACAGCTGTCTCACTACCACAAGAATAAGGTCTATTGAGAAATAATCGAAGGCTGAGTTCAGCTAAGAAATGGAGACACACGGATTCCTCATAACTTTTTTGTGAGCCCTGAAATATAGTCTCCACCACCTCGGCACTCTTCAACTGTTAAAGCAATACATTTCAAGCAATTGGCCAAATCAGTCTGTCCTGGTGACAGTTCTCCTCAAAGCAGGAAGTCCCCTATCTCGACATCACCCCACAGAGATGCTAGGGAAGAGGTACATGCAGAGATGAGGTTGAGAGAGGCTGGAATGACCTTGGCTGGGCCATCTCCCAGAGGCTCAGTCTCCTGGGGTCCCCACCTCTCCCTGTAACATGCTGTCAGACACCTGCATTCATAACTTGGAGAAAACACTACTGCCTTCACAGGATTCTTGTGAGGGTAATATAGTTGAGAAACTGTTCTTGGCATGGGGCTGGGCACATAGCACAGACCCTCCCCCTGACTTGTCTAGACTCCCAAGACATTGAGCCCAGAGCTTTCTCAGGCCTTGTCATTACCCTCATGGCCCTCATGTCAGGGGCCATGCCTGATTCACATGCAATAGATATCTATATGCCAGGCACTTTAACAGGGATGTTTGTTCCCCAACCCTCCAGACTTAATAAATTTTCAAAATGTATTTGCTCCATGTACATCCATGTTCACAGCAGCATAATTCACAATCACTGAGATACAGATGCAAACCAATGGTCACCTATATAGATTTGGTATAAGCAAAATATGGTATAGACATACATGGGCTATATTATTCAGTCTTTAAAAAGAAAGAAATCCTGGGGCCTCCTGGTGGCACAGGAAGTTAAGTGTCAGCTCTATGAAGCAATCTGCAGCCACTCCAGCATGAGTTCGATCCCTGGCCAGGGAGGTGACCCACATGGCTCAGCAGACCTCTTGTGACTCACCTGCTGTATTTCAGTAGAGCTGCCTATTCTGCTCCCCACTCTGTCATTGGCGAATACTCTCACCCCTTCCCTCGCACTTCTGGCCTGTACCCCAGTTCTTGTTTGCATATTTAAATAAATCTTTTTTAAAAAAAGGAAATCCTAACAAATACTATGACATGAATGGCAGACATTATTCTAAGTGAAATAAGCCAGACACAAGAGGACAAATAGTGTATGAATTCCCTTACAATTGGTCTTTGCTGGGAGAATAAGGGGAGAGTGGAAACAAGAGTTGTGGTTTAGGGCCTCCCTGGTGGTGCAGGGGTTAAAGTCTTAGCGCTGGGGCCTCCCTGGTGGCACAAAGGGTTAAGCACAGCACTATGAAGCAATCCAGCCTCTGCAGCATGAGTTTGATCCCGAATGGCCAGGGAGCTACCCATATGGTGCAGCAGACCTCTCCTGTCTTGCCCTCTGCTCCCCTCAGCAGTGTACTTCGGTCAATTTGCCTGTTTTGTTCCCCACTCTGTCTCTGGTGAATCCTCTCACCCCCCCACACCTCTGGCCTGTACCCAGCTCTTATATGCATAAATAAATAAATCTTTTAAAAATAAAAAATAAAGTCTCAGCACTATCAAGCTATCACCAGCCACTAATGCATGAGTTTGAGTTCAATTCCCAGCCAGGGAGCTACCATATGGCGCAGCAGACCTCTCCTGTCTCGCCTGCTGTTCCCCTCAGCAGTCTATTTTGGTAGATCCGCCTGTTCTGCTCCCCACTCTGTCTCTGGTAAATCCTCTCACCCCGCCCTGCAGCTCTGGCTTACACCCCAGTAAGCTAGATAAATAAATAAAAATAAATCTTAAATAAGTAAAAATAACTCTTTAAAAAAAAAAAAAAGAGGCCTCCCCGGTGGCGCAGCGGTTGAGTGCTGGGCTGCGAGGCTGCCCGCAGCCTCTGCAGCGCCGGTTCGATCCCCGGCCGCCGGGTGAGGGTCCCACATGGTGCGCAGACCTCTCCTGCCGCCCGCTGCTCCCCTCAGCAGTGTACTTCGGTCCTTCTGCCTGCTCTGCTCCCTGCTCTGGCTCTGGTGAATTCTCTCACCCTCCCGCGCTTCTGACTGTACCCAGTGCTTGTATAAATAAATAAATAAATAAATAAATAAATAAATAAATAAATAAATAAATAAATCTTTAAAAAAAAAAAAATGCACCTACCTAAAAAAAAAAAAAAAAAAAAAAAAGAGTTGTGGCTTAATGGGTGGTTTTGCAAGATGAAATGAGTTCTGGGGATGAATGTTGGTGATGATCATACACTATATGCTTGAAAATGGGCTTATGAGGGCCTCCCTGGTGGCGCAGGGGTTAAGCACCTCACTATGAAGCCTCTGCAGCACGAGTTTGATCCCCGGCCAGGGAGCTACCCATATGGTGCAGCAGACCTCTCCTGTCTCACCCACTACTCCCCTCAGCAGTGTATTTCAGTCAGTCTGCCTGTTCTGCTCCCCACTCTGTCTTTGGTGGATCCTCTCACCGCCCCCCATCTCTAGCCTGTGCCCCAGCTTGTGTATGCATAAATAAATAAATCTTTAAAAGAAAAAAAAAAGAAAGAAAAAGGGCTTATGATAGAAATTTTTGTTATGTATATTTTATGTTATATATATTTTATGTTATGTATATTTTACCAATAGAAAAAAATATTTTTTCTGCATACAAGCTTAAAAACAAAGAAACCTGAGGAGGGGAAACAAGTAAGAAAATCGAGGAGAATTTAGGCTGTAATAGAGTCCTCAAAATACTTAAATATTTGCCTTGAAGATCTGCGTACTTGTCAGACGTGGGCCAGGAATTGGGTCCCAACCTTCCCAGTAGGGAAGGCAAAAAGGAAAACAGGATCCATTAAGGCCAGCATCCATCTGTTTAAGGGTTCTTGCACACCCAAACTCAGCCGGAGTGTGGTGGGGGATCCTGGATCTGGAAGCTGGAGCAACTCAAGGTCTAAAGACTGAGAGGCACTTCCTCCTTAGAGAGCAGGCTCAGGGGCTAGATAACTGGATTTAATTGCAATGAGGGAAGTTGCAACGTCACCCAAGCCTCAGTGTCCTCATCTGGAAATTATAGGTAATGTATGAAACCTACTTGGGAAGGTAGTCGTGAGGCTGAAATGGGGTCAGGTATTTAAAATCCTGAGCACAGTTAGGGGGAAGCAAATATTGTTTAAAAATGAACCATGATGTAAAATATTTTTAAAAAGAAAAAAAAGAAAAGAAAAGAAAGCTAATCAGAATCACACATGAAATATCCTAAGTATGGAATAGAAAAAATAAATAAATAAATAAAATAATATTAAAATAATATAATAAAAATAAAATAATATAAAAATAATATAAAAATTAATTAATTTTATAATTGGAAAAAATA